CCCTTGACCTATCAGGAGATCCAGTCCCGTTGCATCTCTGATCATTGGCCAATCGCTCTCACTACAGATCTGAAGATTCGGGGAAAAACCCCTTTCAGATTGGAAAAATTCTGGACCGAGCGTAAAGATTTTTCTAAGAAAGTGGCAACCTAGTGGAAGGAATGCAAAGTTGAAGGTTGGCCAAGTTCCAAGTTTCTGGAAAAGCTAAAGTATGTAAAAAGGAATCTAAAAAAATGGGGGAAAGAGGAATTTAAAGCATTCAAGGAAGAGAAATTAACACTGTTGTCAGAATTGGATGACCTGGACCAAAAGGAGCAAACCGGCCAGCTAGAGGAGAGTGGAAGAAGAAGAAGAATCAACTTAAGACAAGAATGGGAAAAGGTGGTAAGGCATAAAGAAGTGTAATGGAGACAAAGATCAAGGATCAGATGGCTGAAAGAGGGAGATAAAAATTCTCGATTCATTCACATATATGCTTCTGGGAGAAGGAAAGGGACCCACATCTCAAAAATAAAAATCGAGCAAAGAGAGATGGAGGACCCCAAAGAAATCTCTGAAGCCTTTGTAAGCTTTTTCAAAGATCTCTATTCGAAGACTGAAAGTAGAAACACTTATCTAAGCTCTTGGGAAGGCTCAAAGATCTCAGCGGTGAGTAAAATCTGGTTAGAAAGGGAATTCCAAGAACATGAAGTGATGGAAGCAGTCTTCAATATGGACGGTGATAGAGCACCAGGGCCAGATGGATTTCCACTTTTTTTCTATCAGGCCTGCTGGAATACTATCGAACAAGATCTACTAGAGGTGTTTAAAGACTTTTACCACTCGGCCATAGTAAATAAGGGGAACAATTCCAACTTCATCTACCTGATCCCAAAAAAGCTAAGCACTCTTGAAGTAAAAAATTTCAGACCTATCAGTCTAATTGGAAGTGTCTACAAAATACTAGCAAAGGTGTTGGCTAGGAGATTGAAGGAAGTTCTAGGTGAGATCATTTCGCCTAATCAATTTGCTTTTGTTAGAGGGCGGCAAATTGTTGATAGCATTCTGATAGCAAACGAATGTGTAGAAGAGAGGAAAATGAATGGCAAGTCGGCGGTGATTGTGAAGCTAGATTTGGAAAAAGCGTATGACAAAGTGGATTGGGAGTGTTTATTAGAAATCATGAGGCTAATGGGGTTTGGAAGAAGATGGATTCAGTGAGTGGAGGAATGTGTTAAATACACATGGTTCTCGGTCCTGATCAATGGGCAACCTAAAGGTTACTTCAAGGCTAGTAGGGGATTAAGGAAAGGTTGCCCCTATCCCCCTTACTCTTTACACTCATAATGGAAATATTCAGTCAACTGGTGAAGAAGGCAAATCTGATAGGGTTGGTGAGGGGATTCGAAGTTGGCAGAGATTCAATTCAGATGATGCACCTTCAATTTGTAGACGACATTATGTTGTTTTTAGAGGATGAAGAAGACAATGTTGTCAATTTGAAAAGGGTCATAATCTGTTTTGAATGGATTATGGGGCTTCGTGTTAACTTCTCTAAGAGTAGTATTGCAGGGCTGAACATAGTAAATGTTCAGTCCCTAAACAATTTTAAGGAAATTTTGGGCTGTAAAGTCAAAAGCCTTCCTTTTTCCAATCTTGGAATGCCTCTTGGAGGGAACCCGAAGATTCAAAGTTTCTGGGACCCAGTAATAGAAAAATGTGAAAAAAAAATGGCCACGTGGAAAAGAGACTACTTGTCCAAAGGCGGGAGACTCACCCTAATTAAAACTTCTTTCGCAAACTTGCCCACATACTATCTCTCGACCTTTCAAATGCCAACCAAAATTGCCAATCAGCTTGAAAGGCTTCAAAGAAATTTTCTGTGGGAAGGAAGTGGGGAAAAGGGATCTCATCTCGTGAATTGGTCCCAGGTGTGCAATTCTAAGGAGGATGGAGGCTTGGGAATAGGTCATTTGAGAGCAAAAAATACAGCTCTTCTAAGTAAATGGTTATGGAGATTTCCTCAGGAACTGAATGCCCTATGGACTGAGATCATCAGCAACAAGTATGAGAAGCAAGCCAATGGTTGGGACTGCAGTTTGCACTTGAACCGGATCAAGGGCATAAACACTTGGAAAGGTATTCTCTCAACCTACCAAACTTTCATTTCTTTTATCAGGTACAAAGTGGGAAATGGGGATAAAATAAAATTCTGGACTGATGTTTGGTGGGGTGACTCTGCCTTGGCTGTATCATTTTCTCGCCTCTACAGCCTTACTCGAAACAAAGAAGCTTCCATCTCCCTTGTCTTATCCTTACATCACTCTCAGCTCAACTGGAACCTAGACTTCAGAAGACCTTTGAGAGAAAATGAACTTGAGGAAATATCTAGATTCCTACACACTCTCAGAGAAGTGTACCTCTCCCCAAATAACCCTGACACTCGAGTCTGGACCCTTCACCCAGCAGGTAAGTTTTCAATTAAGTCCTGCTTCAGGGCACTAATCAAGGAAGAACAGAGTTTGCTTCAGGGAACTAATCAATTAACTTTTCCCTTTCAAGACAGTTTGGTGTCCACACATTCCCTCCAGAGTTTGTTTTTTTGTGTGGGAAGCTAGTCTGAAGAAGATCAACACTTTGGATCTCCTCCAAAAAAAGAACCAAGGAAGGTCCTATAACATGTATGTTCTTTGTGCTTAAAAGCCGGGGAATCAGCCAATCATATTCTGATCCACTGTGAGGAAACTAGAAAAATCTGGATTTTCTTTTTCAATCTTTTCAATTTTAGTTAGACTTTCCCTGAACATGTGATAGACTGTCTCAGACAATGGACAGCAAGAGGGTTAAGTAAAAGAAGAAGGACTTTATGAATTTCCGTAGCACATGCAATCCTTTGGAGCATCTGGGAAGAGAGAAATAACCGAATTTTCAACAACAGAAAAAAGAAACTTTGAGGAGCTTTTGTCTACTATATCATATAGAATTTTCCTTTGGACTTCCAACTCAGAGTTGTTTAAAGGAGTTTCCTTTTCTGATCTTCAAAGAAATGCTGCAGATTTTTTGTTTTCTAAACACCAGTCCTTAATCACCCCTCTCCCCCACTCTTCTGTGGTGGAAGGGAAGATAACCATGCACTTTGATGGAAGTGCGTTTGGAAACCCAGGTGCAGAGGGAGTTGGTGGAATTTTTAGAAGAAGAGATGGTACAGTTATTTGGGCTTTCAATGGACCGATAGGGATAGCCTCTTCAACAAAGGCTGAAATTATGGCAGCACTAACTGGAATCAGGATTGCAAGAGATCTGGGCTATCAGAACATTATCATAAAAGGAGATTCAGCAAATACCATCAAGAAATGGGCTTTAGCTCATTTCTTGGCTGAAGCTAGAGATACTATTTAACTTAAATGCACAGCTGGGTGGGATCCTAGGGAGCTAAACTCCGATGTGGTCTAGCAAAAGCTGGTGCTCACAGGGATTTCATGTTTAGTGATAGCTTTATTCCTACTTAACTGTTGAGTTGTAATTTCTGTGTACATCTTCTTATATACCCACTATTTCATTAATAAAGTTGCCATCTTTTTCAAAAAATTCAGATGATCAGCTGATTTCTCTACGCTTTATTCTAAGATGGTTTGAACCTGTCTCAGGCCCCAAGATCAACCTCTCCAAGAGTGAGCTAATGAAGACTGAAGAAGGAACTCCTTACCCCCGATTGGGATGCAAAATAGGGAAGCTGCCTTCCACTTATCTTGGCTTTCCCCTGGGTGCTAAGTGCAGCTCTAAGAGGATGCGGGATCCTATTATTGAAAGATTTGACAAGAAATTGTCATTGTGGAAATCAAACAGTTTTGGAGACTGTCAGATTGATGGGGAGACATTCGTCTATGACTTGACCAAAAATTGATTATGTGGTAGGACTCATTGCTGAATATATGCGCACCCCAAGAGTGCCACATCTTCCTGTAGTAGAGAGGAAATACCTTACAAAAGAATTGTTATTTTCTAAGCATGGCCACTTGAGAGTTAAAGTTTACATGGATGTTGATTGAGTTGTATCAATTGATGATTTTCAATCTACCACAAGCTACTGTACCTTTGTTGGTTGAAATTTGGTTATCTAATAAAGTAAGAAATAATCAATTGAAGCTAGCTAGACCCAGTGTAAAAACAGGATATAGTGCAATGGCACATAGAGTGAAGTATTATGGATAAAGAACTTATTGTTGGAGATGGGCTTCTCAATATAAAGTTCTATGCCCATTTGGGAGGGCTTTCATGTTACTGCTTTTAGCTTTGCAAGGTGGGGCCCAACCCAGAAAGCCTAAAAGCAATGGTTGGTGAAGAATTCAAAGAGCCAAATTGATTATTGTTCAGCCACTTACATGGTTCTGCATTGAAGTTTCTTTAAAGCAACTCAACCAAAGCTAAATCCCACCTAAACAAGGCCTCTATGTCTCTTTATTGCAACAACAAAGAAGCAATTAACATTGTTTATAATCTGATTCAACATGATTGAACAAAGTGCATTGAAGTAGTCAAAAACTTTGTCCATGAGAAGGTTGATGGAGGTGAAACTTGTCTTCCTTTTGCATGCCCACAAAATCAATTAGCTGATGTGTTTGCCAAAACTGTAAATAGCCTGTGTCATACTAAGATCTTTGACAAGTTGGGTATGTATGAAATTGATACCCCACTTAAAAGGGGGGAGGGGGAGTACTGTAAAACAGAAAAATATACAAAACATGGGGTAATATGGTCTATTTGTTCTTTATTAATGTTTAACTAAAAGATCATTGAGTGGACACACAACCCATCCCTTGATTCTCCCAAATCTCTCTCTCTCTCTCTCTTGATACACATTATTATGTTTGTCCTAATAAAGAAATTTTGACCAGTAAGTACTAATTAGGGGTATACAGTGTGCCCCGTTTGTTGAAAATGGGATTTGCCCAAATCAAATAAAAGCAATAGAAATTTTTTGAATAACAGCATAGTTCAGCCACGCTAATCACTCAACTTACAAATTCATAGACATCCTTTCCAGCTCCACTTGCATCAGCATAACTGTAAAATTCCATGTCATACAAGAAATAATTAATTATATTTGAATGCAGGAAAACAAAATTATTTAGTTGCCAACCATACCTAGTAAGCTCATTGAGAAGACAATTTCCTATAAAGAGATTACCAAGAACCAGAATAGAAGAAAGGATAACAACATACAGCATTTATAAGATCAGATTCAACATTACTAGCATCAAACAAAATAACAGCTTTATATATGAAAGTGAATATTTGGGCTGATTAACCTTACGGAAGAGAGTCGTGGGCCACATAATCAATATTATGCTTGTCAAGGAACTCCTGTGTGATCACCCATGGGGCATCAGGAATGACTTCATCCACCCACCTGCAGTAAGTAGAGAGGAAACGTCATGTTAAGTACTCTGCTGCCAATTGTGGGAATGATAAAAGGATTAGAACTGACAACCCACCCCCCCCTGAAATGGAGTTCGCAAGCTCATAAGAGAAAATGTAAAAAGATGCATCATCTCTATCTATGCAAAGTTCTCAAATAAAAATCTTTTAAGCCACAAAATAAGAAAGGTCAGTAATGGTATCAAAGAGAAAAAGGCTAATAATTTGTATTTGATTCTTTTGCAATTAATATAAACATGTTAATGATTCATTGTTCAACTCTATAACTTAGTTAACATAGGGTAACAAAATGTGATAGAGACCAAACCTGCAGTGCCGAAGAGATTCATAGCGTTCAGATTCTGTCATGACAGTTTTGCCTTTATACTTGTGAGTGACCTCATCGCTGCAACATCCAACAAGTAGATACGTATTTGGAAACCTATATTTTAAAATGCAAACTTCATCAAACTCACTTTCAAGCAGATTAATTCAAATATGTAAGACTTAGACCTCATAAGATCAAATAAATAAATAAAATCACAGAGAGAGAGAGAGATTAAACAAATTTGTGGCTGTGGCAGTTTGATTTCACATACCTATGCTATTATTCCTACATATTACCCCTTTTCAACAACATTCAAATGCTTTGTAAAATGATGGAAAATTTTTATATCTACTATTTATCTAAAATGATAGCTGTAGAGAAGATGGGCCGAATGGCCCATAGACTGTCATTTTATGTTATGTTATGTTTCTCTCTGTTGTGGGCCTTATTCTGGGCCCATACTCTGTAATAGTCTGTTTTTTGTATTTTCCTACTCACTCAAGGGCCTCTCTGTAATTTGTAAAAGATTAACTTATTAAT